AGACAAGGTAATTTTTTTAGTCTCTTTTTATCGCCTGACTATTAATAAAAGTTTAAAAAAAATATTGTTTATACTACTTGAATGTTAATAAGAATTCGGTAAAAAAATGTCTGACCAAATATTTATTTGCACTACTTATAATAGTATAATTATTGAATTAAAAACGTATTAGTACACTGAGAAAAATAATTTCGTAATAATAAGAATATAATTTAGTTGAGCTTTTTTAGTTGGCGTTACTAAAATATGGTTGTCACAACAGAATAGAAAGTGGCAATAAATCGGGAAGTTTAGTTGGCTCTACCAAAAAATATATTTGAAGCTTTCATGTTTAGGAACTAAATAGTTTGGTTCCCAGTACTAAATAGCTGACATGCTGTATTGCGCACGCGCTCTTCTCGTAAATATGGCGTCGCTTCCCATTCACGGGATGTCAACATTAACCATATGTCGTTCGCGTCGTGAAGTTTCAGTGTTGAAGTTTTTATGTTTTTCAGACATTTTTTTAAAAAAAAAGTTTGTGTAGTGAAAATAAATAAATAAAACTTGTTACAAGAACGAAAGTTTTTTTCCAGCTTTTATACATTGTGAAAATGATTTAATCTCAAATTGTTAGTAGGATTCGTAGAGTAGTGGTCAGCGTTCTCGACTAGCGTTGCGTAGTCTGAGGGTTCGAGCCCCAGCAGTGTTAGGTTTTTTCCGCGATAGAAATTAATTTAAGTAGGCATAGGTAGGTTATATAAAGAGAAAAGGGTGAAACAAAAAAATAAGTTGGTTGAGAAAACAAAAAAAAAATTTTCATTTAACTAAATTTTTTGTTTGCTTAAAAACAATAAGTTAGTTGTGCAAAACAAAAAATTTGGTAGACCGAACAAAATGATTCAACGAAAAAATTTAGTAGCCCGAACCAAACGGATTAGTTGCACATATATCAAATAAAAAATTTGGTAGAGAGAACCAAACTTTGGTAGATGATACTAAACATTTTTCTCAGTGTAGTAGAAATTAAATTTTTTTTAATTTTCAAAAATTAAATTTTCTACTATTCTTTAAATTTAAAAATATATTATATATTATATTATATTTATAAATATATTTGTAAAAAATTATTTAATTTATTTTCTATTAATTTTGTCAAAAGCAAAAAAATTTCAAAAAATGAGTTCCACGTTTTGGATTTTTGTTAAAATTTACGGTACATAGGAAATGCTTATATATTAGATCCTGATTTCGCTCACCCTTCAAAACGTTTGCATATATATATTATGTCAAGGAGAGAGCGCGTGTTTGAATTTCTCCGAGGTTTGAATCGTCTCAATTAATATATATATATATATATATATATATATATTATATACATCAGTCGAGAAGCAAGTTTCCTCTACTGTCAGAAGGACAACTATCAGTCGAGAGGACATAACGATGTAATGTTACTGACTCGTATAAGCTAACGAAGTTAATTCAGGAATCCTCGATAATGGCTTCGTCTACATCACAATGCCTTCATGAAAATTCAATTTCTCCTGTTGGGAAGCAAATTCATTATCGATGGACTGACGTAACATAGAAATTTCATTTTCCTCGAGACAACAACAAAAAAAAAAAAATATAATCAATCTCATTAAATTCTCATGCACCCTTCATGTTTCCGTATTCGCTATAAATATATATATTTCTATATAAATAAAGATCAACCGGAAATTGACGGAAAATGATATTTAACGATCAATTTAAGGTTGTTTATATAGCGACATTGTTTTCCTTTTATTAAAAATACCGCACCAAAAGTGATTAGATTATTTTTTTTCAATTCCTATATACATGGAAATTTAATGATAGAAATAAGTTTCCAAAGAAATGTCTCAGTGAAATTCCTCTCCATTATATAGTTGAGGTCTCGTTTAAGTCGACCGACATTTTCTTAATTGCATTTTTATACTTGCTCGGATTTTCCAAACCAATTTCTATTAAGTTCCACCAGACGATGGATAGATATCTATTTATATTCTCGAGAATAAAAAAAATAGCCGCGGAGAATTGCTTTCAAACAACTTTTAAATGAAAATTACTGGATTTTCCCTTCTTACTTTGGCAAAAAGAAAAAGGAAAACGAAAAATAAATTTTTAATAAAAAATATTTTAATTTTTGTATTAAAAAAAAAAATTTATTTTGTCGAGAGGAATAAAAAAAAATTTCAACGAATAAAACGATATTTAAAAATAAATCGAAATTTACAAATTATAATCGATCTCCTTAATTTTCCTTTGTGAAAGGAATAACTGTCCTTAATACTATACGAAGTATTTGGCCATAAGTTTCATCGCTAGCGCGCGGGTCAGATTTATTGAAATTTTATACGGTATCACGATCAAGTTCGACCTGTAAGTTTTTTTTTTTATCGAGTGTCAGTATATTTTTTTACAGATAAAAGAAAAAGAGCGAGACAAACCAAGAAATGGAATGAGAAAAAAAGACGAGATCTTCCATCGAAAATCAATACTTCCCCCACCCTTTTGTACAAGCCTATTCCTTTGACACCCATACATATATATATATATATATATATATATATATATATATCCGAAAAGAAATTCAAAGCAGAAATATAAAACAGATCAAATAACCATATTCGAGACCGTATTCGATTACTTTGTTAGAGGAAGAAAAATATCCACAAGCAATACATAAATTACACCCAAAGTCAATCGCAAGCAATTTAGATTTGAAAAAAAAATTTCAAATTCTAAGAATCTCAAAGAAAAAATTGATAAAAATGTTCTTTTCAATTTAGAAAAAAATTAAAATTGAAATTGATAATTATGTTAAAAAAAATAAAAACCCAAATAGAACTACATATTTGACACAATATTGCAGCAATATTACCGTTGCTAATGAAAAAATGGTCATGGAAACGGTTGCTATAGAAAGAGTTGTTACGGAAATGGTTGCTATGGCAATAGTTGCCATGGTATTGGTTGCTATGGAAACAGTTTTTATAGTAACCGTTCCTATAATAACTATTGCTATGGTAAATGTTGCTATAGTAACTTTTGCTATGGTAACGGTTGCTATAGTAACTGTTGCTATAATAACTATTGCTGTAGTAACTGTCGCTATAATAACTATTGCTGTAGTAAATTTTGCTATAGTAACTTTTGCTATATGGTAACGATTGCTATGGTAACTGTTGCTATGTTAACTGTTGCTATAGTAACTGTTGCTATAATAACTATTGCTATGGTAACTGTTGGTATAATAACTGTTGCTATGGTAACTGTTGCTATAATAACTATTGCTGTAGTAACTGTCGCTATAATAACTATTGCTGTAGTAAATTTTGCTATAGTAACTTTTGCTATGGTAACGGTTGCTATGGTAACTGTTGCTATAGTAACTGTTGCTATAATAACTATTGCTGTAGTAACTGTCGCTATAATAACTATTGCTGTAGTAAATTTTGCTATAGTAACTTTTGCTATATGGTAACGATTGCTATGGTAACTGTTGCTATGTTAACTGTTGCTATAGTAACTGTTGCTATAATAACTATTGCTATGGTAACTGTTGGTATAATAACTGTTGCTATGGTAACTGTTGCTATAATAACTATTGCTGTAGTAACTGTCGCTATAATAACTATTGCTGTAGTAAATTTTGCTATAGTAACTTTTGCTATATGGTAACGGTTGCTATGGTAACTGTTGCTATGTTAACTGTTGCTATAGTAACTGTTGCTATAATAACTATTGCTATGGTAACTGTTGGTATAATAACTGTTGCTATGGTAACTGTTGCTATAATAACTATTGCTGTAGTAACTGTCGCTATAATAACTATTGCTGTAGTAAATTTTGCTATAGTAACTTTTGCTATATGGTAACGGTTGCTATGGTAACTGTTGCTATGTTAACTGTTGCTATAGTAACTGTTGCTATAATAACTATTGCTATGGTAACTGTTGGTATAATAACTGTTGCTATGGTAACTGTTGCTATAATAACTATTGCTGTAGTAACTGTCGCTATAATAACTATTGCTGTAGTAAATTTTGCTATAGTAACTTTTGCTATGGTAACGGTTGCTATGGTAACTGTTGCTATGTTAACTGTTGCTATGGTAACTGTTGCTATAATAACTATTGCTGTAGTAACTGTCGCTATAATAACTATTGCTGTAGTAAATTTTGCTATAGTAACTTTTGCTATATGGTAACGGTTGCTATGGTAACTGTTGCTATGTTAACTGTTGCTATAGTAACTATTGCTATGGTAACTGTTGGTATAATAACTGTTGCTATGGTAACTGTTGCTATAATAACTATTGCTGTAGTAACTGTCGCTATAATAACTATTGCTGTAGTAAATTTTGCTATAGTAACTTTTGCTATGGTAACGGTTGCTATGGTAACTGTTGCTATAGTAACTGTTGCTGTAGTAACTGTTGCTATGTTAACTGTTGCTATAATAACTATTGCTATGGTAACTGTTGGTATAATAACTGTTGCTATGGTAACTGTTGCTATAGTAACTGTTGCTATAATAACTATTGCTATGGTAACTGTTGCTATAATAACTATTGCTATGGTAACTGTTGCTATAATAACTGTTGCTATGGTAACTGTTGCTATAGTAACTATTGCTTTAATAACTGTTGCTATGGTAACGGTTGCTATAATAAATATTGCTATGGTAACTGTTACTATAATAACTGTTACCATGGTAACTGTTGCTATGGTAACGGTTGCTATAGTAACGGTTGTTATGTTAACTATTGTCATAGAAACGGTTTCTATGGAAATGGCTCCTATGGAAACGGTTGCTAAGGTAACGGTTGTCATGAAACGGTTGCTATGGTAACGATTACCATAGCAATCTTACGAGTGTACGACAGACGGACGGACGGGCGGACGCTAAAGCGAAACTATGAAAGGTTTTTTGACCCGGGCCACGAAATCCTTAAAAAAAAAAAAGAAATGATTTTATAATTTGTAAAAACTCACCCCAAGATATGATTGTCCGTTTTTTTGGGAATTGCTTCGTTGACAGAACTTTTTGATATTGGACCTTGTGTGACATCAACGCCCATGCTACCAAGATCCAATGATGCATAGGTTCTTCGAGTTTGCACTCTGGTGACGACACCACCACCACCTCCACCACCACCCGTCACTTCACCACTTCTACCACCACTTGTGACAATTCCTTGATAGAGTTCATCGTACAATGTACTGCCATTGTCATTGCTATTTATTGCATCGTCCAAACGCGCTGGATCCAAATGATAATTTGGATTTTCAAACGAGAGGAGGCCATTTTCTAAAACAAAAATTTCCATTTTTGTTATAAATTTTTTGCAAAAAAAAAATAATAATTAAACATTATTTAATACCAAAATTTAGAAACTTATATAATAGAAAAAAATATATGACAAATATATTATATGTGACGCTCCACGGAAGAACGGACCTTACGTTATTTTAATTATATATATTAACTTAAAAATTAATAATATAATTACTAAATAATTAATAATATAATTATTTCATAATTAATGGATAAACAATCCGTCTGGAAAATTTCTTAGTAAATTAGTCGTGAAGAAATTCGCCAATCAGGCTCTGGCCTGGGCCGCACCAGGCCCTGATCGGGCCCCGGTTTTGATCGATTTTAATCGGGCTAAAAATAGGAAGGCCCATGACTGTATGAAAATCTGATTGGGTTACGGAAGAAGTCCCATTTTAGCCCGATCGAGGACACATCAGATTCTGATTAGGCCCTAAATCGACTTCCCTGTTTCAGCCAGTTTAGCGCGAGATTAGCGAATTTTTTTCACAGGTACAATTCAAATTAAATATTAATTAATTAAATTTCATATATTCATTATTTTCCCCTTTTTCTTCTCAAAACACTTGGACTTTTTTTCACAGGAGAGAAAACTCACTTATGATTCTTAGAATGAAAAAGGCGGCGAACACGACACTATGCAGGTAGCGGCAAAGTACGTCCATAACGACGTGTTGGCGTTCATGTTGCCGGGAAAATCACCCTCGTTCGGTATCGCGAATAGGGCAACGTGAAAAATAATAAAAAAAAAAAAAAAAAAAAAAAACAGAAACCCTTTTGTAGGCGCACGTTTTCTTCTTTTCTCTTTCGGTATTGCAGGCACGATGTGTGTTTCTACACAGAGAACTGCGGCTAAAACGTGTACAAGTCTACTTAAGTCGAATCTCCTTGGCCTCTTTCCCTTCCATCCTTCTCTATTCACAATTTCTTTCTTGGATTTCTGTCTGTTTATACAGGGGCCTTTGTATTGATTCCCATTCGCCAAATGAAACGCAGTTAAAAAAAAAGAATTCCTCCCAAAAAAAACAACTAATTGCAAGAAACAAAAACTTAATTCATATTTTAAGAGAAAAATAATTTTTATTAAATTAAAAAAAAATTATTTTGAAATGTATTTAAAGTAAATGTTGGCTGAACAATTTAATTTCATTTGTCCGAAATTGCATTTGACCGAAACTTTATTTATCCGAATTTTCTTTTGTCCAAAAGTAAATTTGTCCAAATTTTCTTTTGGCCGAAAGTACATTCGTCCGAATTGACTTTTGGCTGAGAGTACATTTGTCCGATTTTTTTTTGTCTGAAAGTACATTTGTCCGAATTTTCTTTTGGCCGAAAGTATATTTGTCCGAATTTTCTTTTAGCTGAAAGTACATTTGTCCGAATTTTCTTTTGTCTGAAAGTACATTTGTCCGAATTTTCTTTTGTCCAAATTTTCTTTTGGCTGAAAGTACATTTGTCCGAATTTTCTTTTGTCCAAAAGTACATTTGTCCAAATTTTCTTTTGGTCGAAAGTACATTCGTCCAAATTTTCTTTTGGCTGAAAGTACATTTGTCCGAATTTTCTTTTATCTGGAAGTACATTTGTCTGAATTTTCTTTTGGCTGAAAGTATATTTGTCCAATTTTTCTTTTGTCCGAATTTTCTTTTGGCTGAAAGTACATTCGTCCGAATTTACTTTTGGCCGAAAGTACATTTGTTTAAAATTTCATTTGTCCAAAACTACATTGGTCCGAATTTCTATAAGCTCTTTTACATCTTTTTCGTCCAAAATTTCGTTTACTGAAAAATTATATTCGTTCAAAATTCTATTTGTTGAAATTTTCAAAAATGAAAATTCGGATAAATAAAATTTCTGATAAATAAAAAATTAAAATAAATGAGAATTATTTTTTTCTTCTCAAGTATATAGCGAATAATCCTCAGGAATTTTTTATTTTCAAGTCACATTGATCTCTCGTTAGGAGTCTAATTACCGAAACTAACTACTCTGAAATGAACCATTTGCTTTCAAGTACTACTTTCTTTTCATATCAAAAAAAAAAAAAATATATATGAATTACTCTCGACCAATTGTCTCGCATTCAATTTGCGTCTACAATGGGCCACCATTCAAGGCAGCCTAAAAGAATGAAGAGAGGAGCAATGAAAATGAATAGAATTCAAAGTACGCTGCGTATCTAGCAAAAAAAAAAAAATTACCCACTTTTCTAAATTGATAGATTTTAAAATTCCACACAATTAATTTTTTTTTTTTATTAAAGCCAATTTTTAATTCCATTCAAAAATGGTCTTTTTTTCTATTATTATTACAGTAAATTGTGAGGTAAAAATAATTCATTAAAGGATTTAAATTTCAAACTTTAAAAAATGAACTTATATTCAGAAAAAAAATTTTTCTCAGAGCCAAATAAATATTTCAGTTAAATAAAAATTTTATTTGAGATAAATAAAAATTTTTTTTTATAATTATATTAATTATGGTAATATTTATGGCTATTATTAAAATTTGCAATGCTTTTTAAAACCTCACAATTTACATATTAAAAATTAAAAAAAATTCAATTATCACTAATAGCAACAATTAGTAAAATTAATAATTTCAAGAAACAACGAAAATTACAAGGAAAACCATGACATTTTCATTATATGAAACGTTGCTCATTATCAAGTCGTGAAGAGTGACATTAAAATTATGACTCACGAAATGAGAAATTATATAGTGGTTGTATTTGTATTTTGCTCTTGCACTGTTCAATTGTTTCTCGTTAACGAGAGACAAAGTTCAGTGAGAGCGAAAGAGAGAGAGAAAGATAGAGGGTGAGAGCAAGACTTTCTGAGCAGGGTACGAGTCAACTTGAAAAGTTTGGACATGCTTTCGATGTTAAGGCAAAAGAGGGTGAGAGTAGAAGAGAGCAAGATGGCAAGTGAGGGCTTGAGGAGCAAAAAAAAGAAAAAAGAAAAAAGCAAAAAAAAAAAACGAAAGAAGACGAGAGTGCAAGAGCTGCTGCTGCTGCTGTCACCGCCCTAGATGAGTCACCATATCGATTCCTCTCGAAAAGAGGAGAGTCTAAGGACTTTTCCCTTCCAAAAAAAAGAGGCGATTCCCTCTTTTTTTTCTCAGACAGTTTATCCTGATATTAAATTTCATGGTCAGGAAACTGCCAATTTGGAAATTCCTTACTATTTTATTATCAATCAACAAAATTAATAATCTTTTTTTTCCTAGAAAAACCAGATGCTAATTTTGTTCCTCTTTTTTCCTTTGTAGAACAAAATTAGCATAAAAAAATAATTCTTCAAAAAAATGAAAAAAGAATTTTCAATTGCATTTTTTTTTTAAATCAAAGATAAATCTATCAATTTTCCTTTGAATTGAAATACAAATGAGAGAAAAAAAAAACCTAAACGCATATATGGTGTGCAAAATAGTGTATCAAATTGATCGAGAAAAGTCTCTGAAAATGTTGAAGGTTATCTTTAAATAAAATACACACACACACAATCATTTTATATAAACACATCCTTCGAACCTTATTCACCTTCACCTTTAATTCATTGCATGCCACACGGTTTAAAAAAAAAAAACAATAATGATGAAAATTGTTATCTCATTTCTCTTTTTGCATCTACTTCACGAAATGTGCAAATAAATCTCAAACAAAAGTCTGTGAAAGATCATTTTAAAACTTTTATAAAATAATAATTTAAAAATAGAACATTTAAAAACTCTTTGTTTTTTTTCTCAACAAATAGAATTTCTCCTATCGGCTTTCTTTTAATTGACATTCTAACAAAACGCTATTTTTTTTTTTTTTTTATTAAATAAACTTTATATTCTCCGAGCAGGAAGAAAAGAAAAATATAACAAAAGCTATATAAACCATACGCTTTCAGGTGGAATAAAAATTCTATAAAAAGATAAAGAGAATTCTAGTGGGCGAAAATCTATTCTTTTCCAAGAGGGGGATGAACACTGCCACGAAGATTATTTTTCACAATATATATATTGACAATAATCCGATTGGTTTTTTTTTTTTTTTTTTTTTTTTTTCTAAACCACCTTCACGAAGGTAGTTGTAGATATACTAAAAAGGTGAAAACATATAGCTTCTAGAAAGGCCTGTATGTAACTATAATATAGAATAGCGAAGAAATAAAGGTGAGGGGGAGAGTGAGGGGAAGGGTAGTAATAGTGTTTAAGGGTTGCGTGCGGCGCCGTACAAATGGCGCCGCGACGTCTGTATGCCTTGAGCGAGCGTTTCTCTATAGCATGATGTTATTCGCTGTTGCGAAGTGGCAACGACCAGAAACCGGAAGTTACGTGTACCTGTCTTGTTGCAAATCGAATTACGATATAGGCAATTGATCTTGCGCAAACTCTATTTTAAAACACATTTATTTTCTCTCTCAAAGGGAATTTTATTTCGATATGATATTTAATTTATTATACAACTTTTGCCGAAAATTCTGAAAATAAATTTCATCTAATTACTCCCACACACACACAGTGTCCTCTATAATTGAATACAATTTTACATTTATTATTGATGATCAAGGATAGTGTAAAATTAGATGAGTTTTGACATTTTAATTTTTTGCGATACTCTTTGAATTATTAATGAGAATGCAGTAAAATATTCTCTAATTCTGAATTAGTTACTTATGAATAATTCAGCGTGTCGAATTTGATCATTAAATTAATTAGTAAGCATTTTCACTAATTGATAGTAAAAAGGACTACTGATATTTATAATAAAACTACTTACTTTAGGTAGAAAACTACTTATTTTAGGTAGAAAACTACCGATTGTTAGTAGAAAATTACTAATTATTAGTAGAAACTACTGATTGCTATTAAAAATACTAATTTTAAGTAGACAAATTTTAATTGTTAGTAGAAACTACTAATTTTTAGTAGAAAACTACTCATTGTTAGCAGATAATTACTAATAATTAACAGGAAACACTGATTT